TGGCACTGAATAGCTCGAGTTAGATATTATTGTAATGTTTCGGACCTTTGCACGAGGTCATTTTCTCAATCTGGACCTTTTAGAATTTTAATTGAATACCCCTGCTCTAAACCTATGTGAGCTTTGAACTTAGTGAAGTTCGTCTAAAGCTCAGCAGTACTGACAGTTTGTCTGTGTGATGATTCACTGCCCATGGTGCCAAGATGAAGGTATTTAAAAGGGATATAGATAAGGCTGGGCAATATATCGATATTATATTGATACCGTGATATGAGACTAGATATCGGCTTAGATAACATCATGGCATAAGTGTTGTCTTTTCCTGGTTTTTAAAGCTGTGATACAGTAAATTTATGCCATTTTCTGAACTTACCAGACTGTTCCAGCTGTTCTATTCTATCTCAGTTATTTTATCCACATTACTGGTGATTATTTATCAAAAATGTTGTGAAAGCACCAATGGTCAACCCCACTATATCGTTGCAATATCAATATTATGGTATTTGGTCAAAAATGGTGATACTGGATTTCCTCCATATCGCCCAGCCCTAGATATAGGCGATGTAAAAAGCAATGCAATCCAATACCATGTTGTGTTATAAGGTTAATCTGTGTAAATAACAGCAACTAATTCAACACTTTGTTTGTGACCTATAAAATACCAGAGAGCCCAATTAATACGTCTCTGTCACAGTCTCAACAAAAACTGAATTCCAGGTTCAGTTATTTATTTATTATGTTATTTATTATTTATGTTGAACATTGTGCTGATGCAGCTTCTATTGTGTTATATTTGTGAATTCAACTGCTTTTAAATTAAGTATTGATAGATCATATATAAATCAGCATGCTGTACATTTTAAAAGTTTTTGTGAACATATTTTATGCATCTTATGAAAAAAATGTTTTTCTATCTGGGCAGGTTTCTAAAACGGATCCTTCACCGAAGAGAGAAATGCCTACGATGATCTTGTTTAGTATGGTGTTTGCACTAAGGGTATGAAATGACTTTATCTAAGGAATTCAGATTTTATATTGTATCACATTTAGCCTTTTGGCTGTTGTGTATACATGTTAATATTACAAATCATTTATGGCACAATTAAGTCAGCTGGCTGTGGGTGGGACACTTCTATTCTGTGTTTTTGTTAATCTGTGTTTGCTGTGAATGGGAGGGGTGTGTGAGAGTGATAATATTCCAGTAAACGCTCACTATCTGTGAGAGCATGGGAACTCAGAGGGAGTAGGGGCCAATGTACAATGCTTAATCAGGCTGCCCAACAAGGCACAGCCTGGGCCTGCCCATGCTGAGTCACAGTACCCAGTCAGTCCCAGGACAGCTGAGGTGAGGTGAGAAGTGCTCAGTCATGTTTTGTAGACTATATCTGCACAGACAGCAACTGTTATATTTGTACCCTGGAAATTTCCCCCCAAAAAACATTGGGTTGTTTTAACAGGTTTAATTGCACAAAATTGAACCATTCAAATTTGTATGCCAATAAATTATGTTATATTATTCTACATGTTAATTTATACACATTAGCTTTGTTTTTTGTTTTTAAATCTACTCTGCAGGAAAATGATGGCAGCTGATCCACTTAACAATACCAAGAGAAGCTGTTCATTTTATATAATTGTGTCCATCTCCGTTTACATAACCGAGAGAACACAATATTAGAAATACCTCTCAGTTTGATGCAATACCACACCACTAAACCGCAGAGATGAGGTAAAACCTCTCGAGATCTTTACATCTCACAAGGGAGCTCAAAAGCCATTTCAATATTAAAAGTCTTCTATATGTTAGATGGTTAACAGGCTGCTAATGTTTGACATGAATGTTAACTCCAAATTGTCGTATACATACTACGAACATGTTTCTGTCAAAATGACAGTGTTTATAAAGTGTCTCCCTCTCATCTTTGGCCTCTACAGGCAAATGCTGACCCGTCCGTCATCAGCTGCATGCACAACTTGTCACGCCGCATCGCCATAGCCCTGCAGCACGAAGAGCGGCGCTGCCAGTACCTGACCAGAGAGGCCAAACTGATGCTGGCCGTCCAGGATGAGATTACCACCATGACTGAGAGTGAGATACACAATTGTCACACCTCACAAGTGACGTATATAATACATAATGACATATTTATTATAGCACAATGTAACTAATCAGCATACTAATGTTGTGTTGTGTTTTTCCTGATTCAAGCCGATGGAAGCCCCCAGTCCCCATTTAGACAAATTCTTCCCAAATGTAAACTAGCCAGGGACCTGAAGGAGGCTTATGACAGGTGTGTGATTAAATGTAATACATTGCTGTTTTTGTTTTGTTCTTTCTCCCTCTTTCTTACCATGCAGGATGCACATTGTTCACACAGCTGATTTTAACATTCATGTTTTTGCAGCCTTTGTACAACTGGCGTGGTGCGACTACATATTAACAACTGGCTCGAGGTGAGCTTCTGTTTACCACACAAGATCCACAGGATTGGTGGCACCTATATCCCCCCTGAGGCATTAGAGCGCAGCCTCAAGGCTATAAGGTTTGTTCTTACTTTTTATGTACAGAATAAAAAGCATCTACAGTGTTCTATGTGAGTTGAAAATAACACTTGACTGCACCTCACTCAGCTGTTGTGGAAGGTGAAACTGAATATGGCATGTCATGACAAACCACAGATACTCCACCCAATGTCCCCCTTTTCAAAGCGTTATGTAGGACGTTTTATTGCGGATTGAGCCTTTTCTTATGCACTATTTAATAGGATATTTAGCACACATATATTTAGTCAGTCAGCATGTATAGGCCTATACACGACTACCAAGTAGCACAGGATTGTTACAATCCTTTTTAATCTGTGTTGTTGGATGCACTGTTGAAGGTCAAGAAGTCTCAGACCCTCGAAAACAGAGATTGTAGCCCCCCATCAGTTTGTTATGTCAAAGGAGTGTTGTGTCTTTAACAGCTGATGAAGGGCTGTGTAAAGTAGGAGCTTCAGTACTGACTTACTATTCAAACCGTCTGAAGAAACCATGAAAGGTTTTGTGTGGACCATACTGCCACCTGTTGTTACTTCAGCATACATACATCAGAGATGTGACCAACTTCTACCGCTCTCTTTCTTTCTGTCTTTTGAAGCTGCAAAGCTGAAATTAGTGCAAACTGCATTCAAGCCATTGAATTGTTACAGCACTGCAGAACGATGATTTTATTTTAAATGAATCAGAGTGGTCAGTTGTTCTGTACATGTACAGACTGTTCTGTTGTACAGACCGGCACTAAAGCTGATCCCCTCTGGACCGTCTTGACCTCTGAAGAGGAGGTCTGTTGATTCAGAGGCTGCATGATCTGTGTTTTGATCCTTCAGACCCTATCATGCCCTGCTGCTGCTGGAAAGTGAGAAGGCACTGCTGAGCCAGCTTCCTCTGGACTGCTCGCCTGCAATGGTGCGCCTCATCAAAACCTGCTCAGCGGTAAAAAACCTGCAGCAGCTCGCACAGGATGCTGACCTGGCCTTACTTCAGGTGGACAACATCACCACTGCACTTTACAACCACAGATGTCATTCTCTGATCTCGAAAGGCATTTATCTTCAGATTTGAAGCATGTTTTCGTAATTAGGAACATTTATTTATAACTGCACACAATCATTAAGCTAATTCACAAATAAAGAGGTTGTGATTGTATGGTGTTTTGTAATATTTTCAAAAAGGTGTTGATGGTGTCTTACTGCCATCTAGTGGACAATATATGTACTTACAAAAAGACAATGTTAGGGCACCAGTACAAGGAGCTCTTTCTTCTACAGTTGGTTTTCAATTGCAAATAATTTTGTTGTTTGGATAGTTTTATTTCACATCATTTGTATCATTCGTAAATAATTTTCCCCCTCAGATCTTTCAAATTGCTGCTCACTTGGTTTATTGGGGCAAAGCGATCATCATCTACCCGCTGTGTGAGAACAACGTCTACATGCTGTCTCCTCATGCCAACATCTGCCTGTGAGTGTTCATGATGTGATGGACTGATTACTGTAGAGCTGATGGACCATAATGTTGCTGTGAAATCTTTATTGTCATTAAATTCAGACTTGTTAAATACCTCAGATTTTGTTATGAAATAACTGGATTGAGCCATTGGCAGTACTTGTAATAGCCTTCTCTTTACAACCTTGTAGAAAATTGATTTTAAAAAGCTATTGTCGAATGATGTCTCCTATCTCTCCCTGGATAGATACTCACCATTGGCTGAACAGTTTGCCCAGCAGTTTCCTGGACACGATCTGCCCTCCATGCTAGCCAAGTTCTCACTGCCTGTCTCACTGGCCGAGTTCAGAAGCCCCCTAGAAGCTCCTGCACAGGAGGTAGGACAGTTGGACAAGTACAAATACACAGCAAATAACCTCACCCCTCCACACTGGATCAAACACACTACACGTGGAAGCCAGCAAGTAATTAGTATCAAGTCCTAAACTTTTTACGCAACAACTACAGTGGGTACGGAAAGTATTCAGACCCCTTTAAATTTTTCACTCTTTGTTTCATTGCAGCCATTTGCTAAAATCAAAAAAGTTCATTTTATTTCTCATTAATGTACACTCAGCACCCCATCTTGACAGAAAAAAACAGAAATGTAGAAATTTTTGCAAATTTATTAAAAAAGAAAAACTGAAATATCACATGGTCATAAGTATTCAGACCCTTTGCTGTGACACTCATATTTAACTCACATGCTGTCCATTTCTTCTGATCCTCCTTGAGATGGTTCTACTCCTTCATTGGAGTCCAGCTTAAACTGATTGGACTTGATTAGGAAAGGCACACACCTGTCTATATAAGACCTTACAGCTCACAGTGCATGTCAGAGCAAATGAGAATCATGAGGTTGAAGGAACTGCCCAAGGAGCTCAGAGACAGAATTGTGGCAAGGCACAGATCTGGCCAAGGTTACAAAAGAATTTCTGCAGCACTCAAGGTTCCTAAGAGCACAGCGGCCTCCATAATCCTTAAATGGAAGAAGTTTGGGACGACCAGAACTCTTCCTAGACCTGGCCGTCCAGCCAAACTGAGCAATCGTGGAAGAAGAGCCTTGGTGAGAGAGGTAAAGAAGAACCCAAAGATCACTGTGGCTGAGCTCCAGAGATGCAGTAGGGAGATGGGAGAAAGTTCCACAAAGTCAACTATCACTGCAGCCCTCCACCAGTCGGGGCTTTATGGCAGAGTGGCCCGACGGAAGCCTCTCCTCAGTGCAAGACATATGAAAGCTCTGGACCTCAGACTGGGCCGAAGTTTCACCTTCCAACAAGACAATGACCCTAAGCACACAGCTAAAATAACAAAGGAGTGGCTTCGGAACAACTCTGTGACCATTCCTGACTGGCCCAGCCAGAGCCCTGACCTAAACCCAATTGAGCATCTCTGGAGAGACCTGAAAATGGCTGTCCACCAACGTTCACCATCCAACCTGACGGAACTGGAGAGGATCTGCAAGGAAGAATGGCAGAGGATCCCCAAATCCAGGTGTGAAAAACTTGTTGCATCATTCCCAAGAAGACTCATGGCTGTACTAGCTCAAAAGGGTGCTTCTACTCAATACTGAGCAAAGGGTCTGAATACTTATGACCATGTGATATTTCAGTTTTTCTTTTTTAATAAATTTGCAAAAAATTCTACATTTCTGTTTTTTTCTGTCAAGATGGGGTGCTGAGTGTACATTAATGAGAAATAAAAAGAACTTTTTTGATTTTAGCAAATGGCTGAAATGAAACAAAGAGTGAAAAATTTAAAGGGGTCTGAATACTTTCCGTACCACTGTATATATATATGACATAAAATAAACGATAATATATTGTGAATGACCGTGAAAAGTGAGACAATCCTCCTGGTTTTTTCACCTTTGTTGGTGAAATAATCTGATTAATATTCATTGTTGTTTTTCCCAGGATAAAAAAAGTCTTCCTCTAAACCTGAACAAAGGGAATTTACTTGAAAATGTACATGGCTATTCCTGTAAATTTAGATCCTGGATTGTAAAAGCAGAACCATGTGGTGTCCTCCTCCGACCCATCCTGTTTTGGCATAGCTGCTTGAGCTCCGGCGATGAATTATAAATGGCAAAGGGACATCAGCTCCAGCGTCTGCAGCTTCCATTTTTCATGAGAACAAGATCAGAGGGCACTTTCTTTTGGCTCTATTTTGAGCTTGTTTGTTACCTGTGGCTCATTTAAAACATTTGACCTGGCTAGGGTCATGATGTGTTGTCATGGTTATTGGGGGTTTATCATGTTATTCAGCTGTGATGCAGTTTGCTGCTATGCTCCTGACCAGGCCCAGCTGATCCAGATGGTGGTGTGGATGCTCCAGCGCCGCCTGCTGATCCAGTTGCACACATACGTCTGCCTGCTGGTACTACCCAGCGAGGATGAGCCCGGGTTGAGGGATGAAGACCCTCCGCTGGCTCCCCGAGTAGGAGGCCGCAGTCTCAGCACCCCTAGCGCTCTCAGCTTTGGCTCCCCAAGTATGTCCTCACTTGGCTCTCTTCCCTGCCCATCTCTTAGAGGTATAACATGGCAATAAATAATCTATGATCATCTGTCTGCTTCCTGTGTATAGCCAGCAGTGATGACATGACCCTCACTAGTCCCAGTATGGACAACTCCAGTGCAGAGCTACTGCCTGGTGGGGACTCTCCGCTTAACAAGAGGATGACAGAGACGCTGCTTGCCAGCCTGTCGGAGCACGAGAGGCAGGTTATTCTTAACATCCCTGCTGCACAAAATCCAGAGGATCTGCGGATGTTTGCCAGGTAATTAAGCCACAAGTCTAGTGCATATTCTGTGTCTTATTAGTATGTTAAATGTTTCTCAGCTCTCCATTTCGCTCTATATTTAGACGGTCAGGTTAAAGGCCCCTCTACACTATGCGATTTTGGGCTGTCTGACAAAAACTGATTGCCACAAATATTTTATTAGACCCATCTCGCACAGTGTGATTCGCAATGAACTCACACGGTCGCTGTTGTCATACAGTCTAAAGGAGCCTTAACAGATGGGATATGTCTAAGTGAGGATCCAGTGATTCATGATGTTATAAATCACTGTTAATGCTTTGTCTCTTAGGAAATGAGAAGATATTTGTGCATTGGTTTGAAAAATAAAGTTATTTTATTTGCATTCACAGAATATTAAGACATTTTATTGAAAACATAATTTGTCTGGAGAGTTGAGCTTATTTGCCAGTTGTTAGTTGTGCACATGTTTAAAATAGGAAATGAAGCTTCACAATCCAGTATTTAGAGTTTTGTGAAACCTACTGCATCGTAAGAACAAATGTTATCAGAGCAGCGAAAGTTCTGTCTCATGGTCGATTTACACAGATAATGATTCAATGAAAGTCTAGCTCGCAACCCATTTTTCTGCCTGTTCTGTTCACTGCTTCCAGGCTGCTGCACTATTTCCGGGGACATCACCACCTGGAAGAGATTATGTACAATGAGAACATGAGACGCTCGCAGCTCAAGACGCTGTTTGACAAGTTCCGCAGTGTCCTTGTGGTGACAAACCATGAGGATCCCATTATTTCAATCTTTCAGTCACCCATGGAGTAGTGGCACAGAGACGGTATCAGCTCTCATCAACTGGAAAAGATGTCTGTTTGAGAGCAGCTAATAGCCTGCTGTGCTCTCAGCTAAGTGCTATTGCTCAACAGTGTTCTTTTAATACGAACTGACACAATGATTGCAAAAATGAGTGCCGATTTACAAAATGTAGAAAGTGTTGCTTCCCTTATGAGCCAAATGTTTGTTTACAATATTAAATTATTTTGTACATACCTGAAATGCCTCAAGCGTTTACTCTGCATATTGGAACTATTGGTATTGGGGAGGGGGGTTAACTTTGTATCACAGATGTTAGATCAGCTGCACTTACAACAGATGGGCACACTTTGTAATGATCATTCCAGATCTTCATCTACCTCTCCTCAGGAATCCCAGAGGTGGGGAACATCAAGAGGTTATTTTGCTTTGAGAGAAGCAGAGCTTTCCAAACATCTGTGAAATCACTGAGTATGACTTTCTTAAAAAACGGACGAAAGACCTAAACAAAAAAGATTTGAGTGAGAAAAGGTACGTTACAGAATAAAACATTTTTATAGACCGATAAATTGAGTCTTACTCTAGTTGACTTAAACTCTAATCTGTTAGTTTTGAGTATAACTTTTCATCAGTACCATAAATACACTGTTAAAAATCAGTTGCAGTTTACAAAATGAATGAGAAACATCTTGCATAATTTATGCAGATTAGAATTTAGATATTCAACCAGTCAAGAATGTTATTCTACCATCCTGACTTTCTTCTTTTTTTCTTGAGTTTTTATCCTGCCTAAATGGAGAAGTCCACAGAGGGAACAGATGGCAGAGTAGTTCCAGGATATTTCTGTTACGCCCTCTTGACTTTGTGCTGTCCTGTGTCAGACTGCACATCTGAGGGACCTAAATTGTTCATTACATTTCCAGACTGTCTTTCTGCCTCTTTATTCACTACGCTAACACAGTGGTGCCCACGAAGATAAAACCGCCAGGGCTTCTTGGCCCATTCCCTGTGAGATTCAATTCCAATGCGTGGTGCTGATACTATATCGTGGGGTTCTGCTGGATTTGTGTCGGGCTCCCTCTCCAGCCACACGTCTGGGTCTGAGGCAAGGTCTCGACGATCAAAACAGCGGGGTATATTTAGAGCTTGGCACAGCTTGGAAGGCCCGTTGCAGAGCTCTTTGTCCTTGAGTTGTCGGGCTCCCTCTTTGCGTCTGGCTGTCCTCAGCTGCCTCATGAGGGGCTGACCCTGCAGGGGCTCCAGGGAGCGCAGCAGCACGGCAGCACCCTCCCCTGGGGATACAGCACACAATATGCATCAGTCAGCAAGGCTCCACTCTGTCTCCTTCCTTTTGCCCTTTATCCACTGATGATAAAAAACACTGCTGTATTGATATAGTGTCATATTAATAATAGAACACTTGGAAGGGGACAGATTGAACCAAAAAGGGCATTTATATAATGTGTCTGTTTGCATGCTTCAGTAGACATAATGTCTATCACCTTTGGTTGACAATGCTTTTACCTTCACTAGACACGTTCATACAGAGGTAGATGCCATAGATCGGATACACATAAATTGTGCCAGGCTTCATGAACATGGCTGTGGTCCTCTCAGTGCGTTTGCCTCCTGCTGAGTGTGAAGCTTTGTCCTTCCCTCCAAGGTAGGCTTCAGTTTCCACTATTCTCCCTCGCAGCTCAGTACCATCTGCACACCTGCGGACCAACACCTGCAGGGACAAGGAACAAGACAGATTATGTTCTATTATGGTCAGTCAATTAATCGATCAATCCACAGAAGATTATTGGCCTGGTTCAAGCTTTTCAAATATTATTTTATGGTTGTTTTTTTAAGCCTTCTGTGAAGTAAATTGGATATCTTTGAATGTGGACTGTTGACCAAACAATCAATCGATTGAGGATGAAAATAATCTTTAGTTGCAGTCCTACATTAACGGTGAACGGTCTGGATGCATTTTGTAGTTTGTACGGTTGTAGTTTGTAAAGTTGTCTTATCAACTATGATACAATGTTACAGTGTAGCAATGGAGGACTGAACAGCTGCTGAAGGAAATACAAAGTAACCAGAGGTGGCAAGACTTTCTTTGTTCTGGACAAAGATATGTCTACAGAGCATCAAATGGCTTTCAGACATCATCATTACAAAATGAATTAATGTAGGTGAGATGGCAGCATTACCTTGCCGAGGAATGCTTTAGCCAAACGGATACAGGGTTGTTTGAAAAAATCCTCTTCAAGTCTGTGCTGCAGGTCATTGTTGATGAAATAATGGCTCAGCTCCGTCTCAGCACTTTGAGGATTTTCACACTTGTTATTCAGTTCGGCAGGTGAAACCTTTGCTGGTTGAGGTGTTGCTGCTCCTGTCAATGCTGGCATCTTTCTTTTTCTCCCTGCCATCATAACGTTACAGCGAAACACTTTTGAAAATTGAAATAAACATTATTTGACACCCTCACTGTTTTACAATGTCAACATCTATTTTACATATTCTTTAAACCATTTACTTTCTCATTTATGTGTGTTTTATAGTAGATTAACGGCACAGTGCTAGCGCTAACATACAGGAAGTAACGATTGTTTTGTATCTCTTAAAGGGGCCGCGCACTATTTCTGGCAATCACTATTGATTATGTCGCGTTTTAGTTTTCCTGTTAAGAGTGTCTATCCAGGTTGTGAGGAGGAAGGTCCATCTTTGTGTCTTTTCCACATAATCCTCTACCGTGACTGTGCAGCCCAACGTTTTGTTAGCGCTTCAAATGACAGCCAAATGGGTAGGGATAGGTAAACAACACCCCCGTTAACCCTGGTCTTTTCCTGCTGCTGTCTTATCTTCTCAGCCTCATTTGAAAACACTAGGCTCTAATATAAGAGGTTATAAATAGAGCTGGTGTGCTCCTGCCTGCCAGTGCCCAGGAAGTGGATGGCCCCAGATTGGCCCCAGGCACTGTGGTTCCATGTGGCTTTCTGGACTTCAGTGTGTGACATGGTGCCATGCCACAGACTACAACTTTATCAGGAAAGAACAAGTTTGCTGTGCTGTTGTGAAACACTGTGCTGACCTGAAAGCTCATGCATGCATGCATTGACTGATGTGAGTGGATGGATAGGCAGATAGATAGTTGGGAAAATGCAGAGTGGGGAATGAGTATATTAGTGATGTTATGTATAAAATAGATCTGTCATTGAAATTGTTGAGATGTATTGCTAACAGATGAAAAACATTGGTTAAGGTTAAAAAAAGGGCACATTTTTGTATGTGTTCAACATACTTCTTAATTTTGCTTTGTGGCCATTTGCATGTTTAGCACCAAGTTACTAAACTAAATGTAGCCGTCATCACAGAATTACATTTCCAGTGTGCAAAATCTTCCTCCTGTTGAGCTTTTTGTAGCTGCAGCCCAGACTGGTTCTGCGCACCTTCTTTAAGTTCATTATTCTGCAATCATTCCTATATGTTTTATATGTCTAGAGATGACCTTCTCAATCTCTTCCGCTTGCACAGACCTGCTCTGCTGAGATGGCTTTGCTCCCCACATTGCTGGCAACAAACTTGATCTCAGTTTCTGCTGCACCTTTGCACACAGAGTAGATTCACAATGCCTTTCTTCATAGCCTGGGCATTTTCTTACTTCTGATGTTCATCAGCATTGTTTTCCTGCCTGCTGCACTCAGCATAGCAGCGTTCTTCTGCAGATCCTCCTGAGCTCTCTGCAGCTGCAGCATAAGCTCTGACACATCCCTGTCTTCAGTCTGGAAAACCTTTGTGCTTTGACTGGGAGTCTTCTCCTGTCCTCCTGCAGCTGGGTTGGTGCTTTGGGGACTGTAACTACTTGTTCACCTTGTCTACAATAATACTATCTGGAAAAAGCCTGATACCTGACTTGATTTGTCAAATCCTATGATTACAAAGAGGCACAAACTATCGAAAGGCTTGTGTGCATTAGTGCCAGTGAGCTGTTGTTAAAGAGAGTTTTAATCAAATTGTTGTTATTACATTAACTGTGCATTGGAGATTTTAAATAGGTTACAGCTCTCCAAACCTCGAAAGAGTTCCAGAGAGAGAGAACAGTTGAGTGGATGATAAATATGATATGTATGACTGTATGTGTAGTCAACTGTAGAGGAAGAATTTTCTTTTTCTCACTTCCACTTTAATACTCCAAATATTACACATTCTTTGTATACTGTTTTGCTCATAAAATATTACATTTATAATAAGGAATTTTCTTCAGTCTTTTATTCATTAACTTGAAAGAAGAAAACACAGATAGCAACATTACAAAGAAAACCCCCCAAAGGCCTCTCTCCTTCAGTTAGTCAGATCTTTGGAGAGGTGCCAGTAAGTGCAGCATGCTGGTGAGTGTGTGTAGGTGTGTGTGTGTGTGTGTGTGTGTGTGTGTGTGTGTGTGTGTGTGTGTGTGTGTGTGTGTGTGTGTGTGTGTGTGTGTGTGTGTGTGTGTGTGTGTGTGTGTGTGTGTGTGTGTGTGTGTGTGTGTGTGTGTGTGTGTGTGTGTCTGTGGCATTGCAGAAAAAGGTTGAAGGTGCACAACATTGGATTGACGGTAAGTTGACATACTGCAATAACATCAATCATAGACATAAAGATTTGGATTGATTTATAGGGCCAGGATATGATCAGGACAGAAATCTGCTGAGCATGTTCAGTAGAAGAGTTCTGGCACGAGTTGTTGACTTTGTCGTGGGTGGTGGACCAGTGAAGGCCATTGTTTGCTTTGACTGTGTTTCCACCGCCTGTCAGCAGTGATGCTGTGGTCTTTGCCGAGCAGCTTTCATTGCTACTGCGGCCGATAATCTTAGAAGCCAAAGCCTGGCTGTAGCGTTGCATTCTGGATCACTTTCAACTCCAGCAGTCACCGATAGTGACGCTGAGCAGGGACGCCAGAGACTCATCTGCGTGTGCAGATGGGCAAGCAGAATGCAGGCAGACTGAAAATATCTTACTACACCATGAGTCAGAGAATGCTATGAAGAATAAGGGTTGATCAGCTGGGTGTGATATCCTCTGTGTTAAAAATATGTAATTTTGATTGAAGCTATTATTATATTCATAAAGTTTATGTAAATTTAAATTTACACAGTAAAATATTTCAATTTCTTCTTTCATGAATCTCTCTATATATATATTGTGTATAGTTTCAATACAGTGGTAGACTGGCACTGCTATCTTTGCTTTAAATCTGGTCACATGAAAATATTACATCAAACACATGACTGAAATAAATTGAAAAAAATGTTACTGTTTCGTCCTGCCATGTTTATGATATCTTAGGTCTGAATGCCACCGGCTGCTGAGATGACCTCTTCTGTACTGTGTTCAATTTTTATTGCTTAAATAACATATTTATAACTATGATATAATTCAATCACGAGGTGCAGCAGTAACCTTGTAATTGAATAGGGAATTATAATAGTTTAAAAAAAATAAACATAAACACAAAGATCAGCTTTCACTAGGCTACTTCTAATACAAATACTGCATATCAGCCTCTGAAATGGCATCCAAGAAACCTCTCCAGTAGTACCGTTTAACTGCAATCTATTCTCAACGAGCCGATGAGTGGCAGAGCCTGGTAGTCATCTGCATCCTCAGTGTTTGGGATAAATTATTAATTGATGACAATTAATGATTCATGAGTCTCTTTTCTTGTTTGCTGCAGAGGTGTGGTGTGTGCTGAACAGGTGGCTGGGTTCTCACTGGGAGGAAAACAGGAGGATTATTCCATGTGAGACCCAGTTCAGACATCTGCACAACAGAAACATGGAGAAGCATCTGGGATCACATGCCAACAGAACCACAAAGGTTTGGGAATACCACGCATACATGTGTCTACTGTATGTTTTTTTAACCTGCCGAGTAAAATGAATAAACCCATAGTCATTTTTTAAACCAGCAGTTTCAAAGCATAAATGAGAGTCAATGACAGTTTGAGGGCTGTTTTAGTAGATCATTAAAAGACAAAAAACTCAGCCTGGTTTATGGATTGAGCCAGCACTAAAATCTCCATGACCTTTCTCAGTCTACTCTGATAACAGCTGCCTTGTCTCAGCTCACACCTGTGGCTCTCAGAGGGAACAACCATTGAGTCAGGGAGAAAGGGAGGGAGGGCTGTCTGCAGGATCTCACTGGTCGTATCACAAAAACAAGGGAGTATAAATCTACTCAACAAGACCACAGTCTCCTTCTGCTGTGATATTTAGCAGCAGGACAGGATTTTGCCCTTTGCCAGTAATCATTGAATAAAAATATGCACTATATTTTGATTCAGTGATGTCAGCTCTACACTGCTGTTGATTGTGTGATCAGTACAGCTACAAACAAAACATTAAGTTAACAACATTTCATTGTGGATTAATATGTCTTTTCTGTTGACATACTAAAGTGCCATAAATTCTGACACAATAGACACAAATGTCTTGTTTTGGTAAAAATCCTTTGAGCATCCTTTAAAAAAATCACATGCTTGTAAACTGTACTTGTCTTCTTTGAAATATTTCTTTGGTGTGGTAACCAAGTCACCTATGCACGAGCAGAAACCTCTCTGTGGTCTTAACTTAGAAACTCTGCTTGGTTGAAGAAAGAGGAAGCCGTTTATGAACCATCTGACAATGTCCTTTTGCTTAAACATTATCCTTGCACTCAACCCTTTTATCTGTGTCTGATTGATGGGGCTTCAGGGGGCCTTGAGTGCACCTACAGGTCCTGCGTCGCTTCCTAATTGTTGCCTTTGCCCCAGCTTCAACCCTCCGATATCCCAGGGTACACGTCGCCATTAATTACGACAACTTCCTAGTGTATCAATCAGGCCACTGAAGGGTCCTTACATAGTAAAAGAGTTGTTGAAATCCTATAAACTCCTGTGGTGGAAATACTGACTTTTGCATTTAGGAGCATGTCTGGATCATTTAGATTTTCAGTGTGCATTTTAGTCATGCTTGCAGGGACGAGACCCTTGGGTGCAAGACAGAGAGGAGACTTGAGCTAAGAGACAGCTCGCCTTTCATACTGTAAACTACAAACAAGACCAGTGGTGAGACCTGTCTGCTGTGTGCCTGATGGGGCATGTTTTTGGCTCAGCCTCACATTTGAACAAATTGTAATGAAAAAAGAAAGAGGAATAGGGTGTTTCTTGCTACAGATATTACTCACATATGCGAGGAGAGCTGCTGATGTTGTTTAGCTGTGGAGGAGCTGTGGAAGATCTGCGGAGGAGGTGTTAGAAAATTTGAAACCACACTTAAAGACACATATTATAGTTCCTGTAGCAAGAATACTGCTAGTGGTTTGAAAGTATGTTCACTTCTGCTGAATAAACATATATCTAATGGTATAGTATCACTTCAGAATTTTTTTACAGACTCCTCTGACTGATTCTTTTTTCATTCACTAAAAAAAACAGAGCAGGGTAGTAACAAAGTAGTCAAGTACAGTTTGTGAGGTAGTTTCAGAGTATTTATAATTTATTCTACTTTATACGTTTACCTCACTACAATTATTTCTGTTATTCTAATGTATTTATTGTATTTCTTTATACAAAACATGGGATCGCATCATTGAATCATGCATTGCCAATTTAAAGCAGAACAGTGTACAAATGTCAAAAATAATTTATAGTATAGTATATTTTGCTGTTAATACTGTACTTTTACTTAAGTAAAATCTGGAAAACAAGACTT